TGTGTGTGTGTGTGTGTGTGTGTGTGTGTGTGTGTGTGTGTGTGTATCACACAAACAGGAGGCAGAGGGTTTGTTTACATTCTCACAGGTAGCAGATTTCTCAATTATGCTGCGAAGCAGCGACACCGTGATAACAGCACACTACTGTCCAATATAAGAGCTGCTCTTGAGCTGTGCAATATCGCACCATTAGCATTAAGACACAGGATATTAAACATAACCACTAATGAAAATGACTAATTAAGCCACTTGATGCATTCATTAGTGGATATTCCCATGCCAACTTACATCCCATCACTGATGGTATCTGAAACCAAAGATAACAGTAAAAAAAAAAAAAAACAGTTTTTACTCATTAATATGGAAATTAATGTAGCTACGTGCTCAAATATCAAATCACTTTCTCTATAGCTTTGGTTTCTTTCTCAAAGTCAAAGCAGCACATAATCTCTGAAGTTCGTTCCAGCCTGCTGAGAATTTGCTGCTTTTCTTTATTCCTATCTCAGTGTTTCCCAATCTAGGGTTCGAGACCCCATAAATGGGTTATAGATTCTGCTGGACTATTTTTATTCTAATCTACAGTCTGTTCATTTTTTGGGGGGAAATAGTCTAATAGAAAATAGTTGCATCTCTTTGTGCCTCAAAAATGTTTTCAAATGAGACAATCTGGGAGACTTAGAGGTCAAAATGTGTAACTCATAGACTTCTGACACCTGTGATGTCAGGTCATTGGCAATTTTTGGGGGTCATGAGCCAAAAAGGTTGGGACACACAGACTCATATGAAAGCAGACTGAACATCATTGGTTATGGACTGTTGGCCGGACAAAACAAGATTGGATTGCAGGATTGCACGAAATTGTAACAGACATTTCCCCTTTTTTCTGACATTCAACAGATGATAAAAGATGAACTTGTTAGTGAACCTTACCAGCGGGTGTGTGCGGCAGTGCCAGCCTTCCTGCAGGGCTGTAGAGGTACCCTGTCCCCATCACCCATCCCTGGGAGTCTGAGTGCGGATTATGGAGGGTCTTCGCTGTGGGGGGCTGTCTGCTGTTGGATCTGGCCAGCAGGCTGTTGAGACAGTTGTGTGCGCTGGGGTCGTTTCTTTTGTGGTGGACGTGGCGGTTGTTGATGCTGGTGCTGGCAAACGCAGCCTCATTCACAAACATGGAGCCGTTGCCGCCGTGGTCTCTTGACTGACTTGGCGCCGGGTCCTGAGGGAGCGAGCAAATATCACGGTCACATTCAGCAACGGAGCTGAAAGGTGAAAACCAAGCACAGCGTGAACATGAAAACAGAGGAAGCTCATATTCTTGATGTTGAACACATGTGAAACCTTCCAACAATGCACCTTTGAAATGCACTGATGCATTTGCATGAGGGATCAGGAATTAGATTTTATAGCTTAACGGACAGCAAGTTCTTCATAGGGACTATTTCTTCTGTTGAAAGCAGTTCCCATTAAAACTGGACAGTGTGTTCTGTGGAGCAATGAGGAAAAAAAGGATGTTTTTCAAAAGGTAATTTTTCATTGCTTTGCGCAACACAAACAAACCTCTGTTGGATGGGTTTAAAGGTGAAGCTGTTAAGAGATGGATCTCTCTGACCTTAGTGGAAATTAAACTAAAAATGCATGGCTAAGTACAACTGGAGGTAAATGGGAAAAATGTTTAGTCATTTAGATGAACTGACCCTTTAATGTCTGGTGAACATTAACCCCTCTTCTAATACCCTCTCCTCTCCTCTCCCATCTTCACATCTACATGGCCTTTCCATCGCTGAGCTGAGGCAGCACAGCTAATTAGAGAGGACCTGAGAGCTGGTGTGTGTGTGTGTGTGTGTGTGTGTGTGTGTGTGTGTGTGCGTCATTCGATCTGTCTCTGACCCCGTGAACTGCTGCCTCTGGCTAAAAACATTAGGAGGGGAACATTAGGACCTCAACTGCCTCTGCAAGCCTTTGTCAACCCACTGCTTTTAATGCAGCCTCCACACCAACTACAGCAGATGAATGGAAATAAATAAGTGTGCAAAAAGCCAGGAGAGCCTCGTCACGTCCAGCCTGCAGGAGCCCAGGATGGCGTGTAAATTAACGAGGGAGGGAGGGAGCATTGTAACACGAGGCTGCTCATTTGTCCGTCCGTTCGAGTGCTCTGTGTGCGTCTTTTGAACGCTCACACCTGCTGAACTGAGCAGCACAAAGACGTGCCCAGCGGAGGCTAAACCTGCTTTATTTGTTTCACCACCGCTGCTTTCCCATTTGAAGTACACTGAGACTTAAAGGGCAAGGAGAGCGGCGCACCCTTTATCCTCCATGCCTTCCAGCTGCGGGGGACATTTCACTGTAGTGCTTTTCAAACAAAGTGCAGATGATTTAAGTCCTTTTGGACACGATTGATTGGTTTCTCGTGCTGCGTGCCTCTGGTTTTAATTATTTTGTCGGGAGCTTTTATTTGCAACGGTTTAATTATCATCAATCATTAAGATGTTTATTGGTGAGTGGAGCTGCTGGAGCACTAAGACAAATGATGCTGAAATTGCTCTCATTATCGCAGGTCGTACATCAAGAGGGGATTGAGCTGCTCTGTGTAAATGAGTGAACCAGCGTAACTCAGGGTGATAGCTGTCTGGGAAAAGCTCATTAATGACTTTAGCCAAGAAATACTCCATAAACACTGTATATCTGAACATCAGGCTGGTGTCAGGGTCAAGAGCTTTGGTCTGGAAGCATTACAGTTATTAAGTTGTGGTTATTTAAAAAAAATCCACAGACAGAAGAAACTGATCTCTGTTGTGTCAGTTGTGTTCGCTGCCCTACCTGCTGCCCATCTAGAGGTATGACCATGTGAGGAATCACAGTGGGCAGGCTCCTCTGCCGGCCGTGCCTCCAGGTCTGGAGCAGCTTCTCCTGGTTCTCCAGGCGCTCCCGCTCCCTCTCCACACTCCTCTGGCCCTCCCTGAGCCGCTCCAGGCTCTGCTGGTACTCCTCCAGCTGCTCGTCCAGCTCTTCCCTCTCACGCCTCAGCCTCTCCGCCTCCAGGTGGCACTGCCTCTCCCTCTCCTCCAGCTTGCTCTCCTGCTCCCCCTGCTGGCTCTCCCTGGCCTGGCACGCCCTCTCCCAGCGCTCCTTCTCCTGGCGCAGTCGGTCCTGGAGCCGCTGAGTCGCCACCACCTCCTCCTTCTGCTTCTCCAGGTTACGCTGCTTCTCCTGCTCCTGTAGGGTGTTGCCCCGGATGCTTGGAAGGTGAGGTCGCTGGGCGCGGGGAGAGGGGCGCCCTGTCTCTCGGAGGAGGAGCCTCTGGACCTCGTAGCAGCTGTCCTGGATGGTCACCGCAGCCTGGCACAGGGATGGGATGGGGTTCATGAAAATGCACAGACTTTAACCACCACTTTAACCACGTATGCATCCTCACAACAGGCAGAAAGAGAAAGTGATTTGAATGGCAAAATGTGACGGAAATTATCGTCAGGCTCCGCAGGGTGCCCTGACTTTTTATGTGCGATGGGAAACAGCGTCTCTTTACGCGGAGGAAAGATTTTCACTGCCGCTGGTAGAACTGCAGTTTTCAGGTTCATGTGTAAGAAAGGACTTTGAATATGAAAATGACACTGAGATCAAAACCAGCAAACCTACTCAGATTGTGCGGGCAAACATGTCCATATGCAAATACACACACACACACACACACATTCTCTCTACACAAATTTACATTTTATACCCAAGAGGAGTGTATGTGTGTGTGTGTGTGTGTGTGTGTGTGTGTGTGTGTGTGTGTGTGTGTGTGTGTGTGTGTGTGTGTGCGGAGAGAAAAACAAAAGATGTCCGATGCCTCTCAGCAGAAAACAGATCAGTAGGATCCTCTCTCCTGTAGCTCACTACTCTTGGCTTCAAACAGCTGAGCGGAGTGTTGCTTGTGTTTACTGAAGCTGGTGTGTGCAGACACTCTAAAGCCTTCATCTCCACTGAGTGAGACACTAACATAGCATGTGTCTGTTCATAGTGAGAACATAGTGGGGCTTTGTTTTGTTTGTAGACTTGCTAATGGAGATGAGGGCTGTGGTTGTACACCTGCATACTGAGGTAATCCACTCACCTGCAGACTGTAGAGTAACTGGGTCAGGCTTTGGACACTTTGAGCAACCTGTTAATGGACAGAGTCACACACAACATGCAGGTTAATGTTTGTTTCATGCATGAATTTTAAGATTTCATGTACATGTCACTTATTTTCTGCTAATTAATGAGTTACACGGGGAAGTCAGAGTATTCCCCTCTCATGGAAAAGCTAATGGAAGAGTCTAAAATTTGAAGTTGCATTCATGCAACATTTGCGCCCCCCTGAGGCCACATGGTTTCCTACCAAACTGTTTGGGCTTGAATTATCACATAGCAGTGGATAAGAAAATGATTCTCCTTCTTTTATCAGCGTCATTTACCTCACAGTTCACAAAAAAGCTGCAAACGGTAGCACAACTATGGCACGGTAATTGGAATAAGTCTCCATATCCATTTTTAATGGCACAATACCTTTGGGAACTAAATGGACTTCTTCCTTTATTATGAGCTAATCAATGATTCATCACATTAAGACTGAAATGTAATTCTAATAGACCGCACTGAATTATTAAAACAACTGCTGGCAATCTCGAGCCACACATCAGTGGAGAAGTGGAAATAGGTGACGTTCAGTTGCAGGCTGTAAGAGGCTGTAATGACCTATAATAACCTCTACAATACCACTGTAACTCCACCATCACAACTACAGTAATGGGAAAAAACATTACATCATATTGCTGCATCAATATTTAACTCAAACAACCTATCTAATTTTCTATTTCAATTTATATCATGAGGTCAAGCAATCATTGCTATGAGCTAAATACAAGCATCAGTGCTGTACCTTGAGGTCAACTTCATCTGTGTCCGTTTTTTGTAAGTGAGTTGGGGACTGAAAAACAAGGGCCTCGGTCCAGCTCCCCTCACTGGCCTCGGGGGTTTCAGGTGAGGGCTCAGAGGGATCTGAGGGGAGCTCTGCGAGCGGAGCAGGGCTGACAGGAAACACAGAGTCTGTGTCAGAGTCCGGGCTCTGGCTGGAGGGAGAACGAGCCTTGGATGACAGCGTGGCTTTAAGGTTTTCAGCTGGAAAACAAAAAACAACACAAGTGTGAAACTAAGTGTGTAACTGGGCCTATAAGGTTTCTGTGAGCATTTGGTTAGAAGAAAATAATATGATATTTTGTGACTCCAAAAATTTAAATTCTGACAAAGGGGCTCACAGAAACAAAACAAATGCTGGAGGCAGGTGTAAAACAAAATGACACACCATTTGCATATTTTCTGAGCTCGTCCTTTAATTTTTTTCACAAAATGAAAATACTTAGTTTTATTGTTTTTATCATTATTATCATTACCTCTTCTGTTAATGTCTTTGTTCTGCGTGATGTTAGTGTTTTTTATTTTTTGGAAAGCAATAAGAAGTGAATTATTAGAATAGAAGTTGACTGCTCTTTTGTTACATTACAACCGAGCAAAATCCCACATACATTTATGAATGGACAGCAATTGTCAATGAACTTAAATGAGTGGAGAAACTGAACTTTATCACAAGACAACTACATGAATAATATCTAAAACAGTCAAACAAAAAAAATAAATAAATAACAATAATAATCTTTTGCAAAACAATACTGTACTGTTTGTCTGTGTTTGTAGTACAATACATGTCAAACGTCTCACCCTCTTGCAGAGCTGCAGCCAGCAGCACGGCGGCCTGGGGCAGCTCCTCTGAGTGCGGCTGGACGAGCAGGCGCGCTACGACCACCGGAGGGTCCGTCCTCCCGTTCAGAGCGGAGAGCTCTGTGTAAATGTGCAGCTTCTCCTCCAGGCTGGAGCAGATCTGCTGGTCCTGGCTCATCAGACTCTCTGATACACAAGTTCATATAGTTCAAGGATTAAGCACTGTACTGTATTAACTCTGCGGTGATAAATATTCAAGGTTGTGAAGGGGAAAAAAATAAAATAAATGAAGTCACGTTTCCAAGTACCTTGTAACTTATGGATCTTCTGAATACGAGCCTCGGCAGCTCGCTTCTCCTCTTCAGATTCACTTGTGTACTCCTCCTCTTCCTCCGGACAGCTGAGCAGATGCAATAGTAAACAAAGGTCAGAAAAAATAGTGAAATCTTGATGTTCAGTTTGCCTATCCTCAGTTCACACACACAGACGTATACAAACCTCTCTACAGCCTCTCTAATGAGCCTCATCCAAGCGTTTCGCTCCTCTTTGGATGACGTGTGGACCTCGTACATTTCTGGCCCGGCGGCTGAAGCGCTGATCAGAAACATCCCTCTCTCTTCATTTGCTACTTCTCGCACTATTAACTTCTGCAGCGCGATGACTGGAGGCTTCTGGTCCTGGAGCACATTAAAAAGGAGGGGAAATGTATTATTTTACATGAGACGATAATGGCCCTTCATAAAATAAATCACTTTATGTGAGCAGGTGGGTATTTGTCCCACGCGATGAATGTGTGCGTACCACGGTGGCAAACGTGTACTTCTGGTCTTTTTCTTGCAGGAAGATGAGTGTGTCTGTGAGAAGGAGCGCCAGCACATCTGTGGAAGTGAGTATAAGTAGGAAAACATTGTCATCATGTAAACGCATGTAAAAAAAACATCAATAAAACAGTTTTACCGTATGCCAGTCTCACCTTTTAGTCGACCCGTGGCAGTCTTCCACAGGAGCAGCCCCTGGTGTTTGAGCGTTTGTCCCGGCCCCATCATGTCCTGCTTGCGGAACATATGTCCGTTCTTCAGCTTGGCCGAGCTGCGGTTCTCCATGCGGTTCCACACCTCCTGTAACCTCTGGTGCCGCTCGTACTCGCTGACCCTCAAGTCCACGGCGGCTATCACCTCCCGGATCTGAGCCAGGGCTTTGGAAAGGTCGGCGTGCTCCTCTGTTTCTTCTGAGGGGTGAGGAAGGACAAACACATGAAGACTGAATCATGTTTTAGTTCTATGTTTGCAACTGAGATACTGTGCATTGTGCTGTTTTTGAGCAAGCATTTGGCTCTAGTGACCAATTTCGCCAGCAGATGGCAGTAAATGACTTACCTTGAGTATATTGTAGGACCCTCTCCAGCAGCACTGGGTACTTTGTTATCCTTTGGGTCACCAGCAAGATGCACTCTGGGATCTCCCTCCGTCGCACCAGAGAATTATTACCTTGTTGCTTTTAAAAAGTATCATCAAGATTTATACAACATCTGCATGAGCAGTGAGGTAGTGATACTTATTATTTTGGAATTGGTTGAAAGAGCGGTAAATACGTAAAAAAAAAAAAGATGATGAGGGATGGGAATGTTAAATACCTTAATGAAGTTCTGAAATCTCTTGTTATGCTGCTGGAGCTCTTTGAAAAAGCTGACCGCTTCATTGTGACGACTGCAGAACTGTCCATATACCTGCTTTATTTTCTCCCCATTTTCATCTGAAAACTGCAGAAAAACACAGACACACAGTGATTCACATCTGCACCAGATTCCAATCAGCCACACCTCAGAGACAGGTAGTCTCAGAAGACCAACCTGCTGGAGCAGGACGTCTCCTATTTGCTGGATGAGGTAGTTCCTGTGTCCCTGGGGCTCAGCTGAGCTGTGTCGCCGTTCCTTCATGGCGGCGAAGAAGGCATGGTGGAAGAGAAGCAGCTGGTCCAGACAGGGGAAGACCCGCTTCACCGCCTCTGTATCGAGCTGCACTTCCTCCCTCATGCCTCGCCGGAAAACCTCCGCCATGATGTGTAGCGTCTGGAGGTGGTGGAGCTCTGTCTGCATCAGCTCTGCATCAGAGGTTCAACACGTGAACACTCAATGTCTGTGTCACTTATGTTATATCTCTCCCAAAAACTGAGTCTGTTACTCAACCATTGGCAACCTTACAACAATTATATGCAGTTACAGCAATCTTGCATATGAAATACTGACACTGGCAGAAAATGGCACATTCCAGCGGTCTGGCATCTGCTCACCATAGATAACATCCTGCCTCTTGACAGCTCGTTTCTCCTGCCTCTTGCAGAACTTGTGCTCTACCGTCAGACTCCACGACTCCGCCTCGTAATCCGCAGCATCAGCCGAGATGTCACTTTGGATATACGCGTCCACACAGTCTATGGATACAAAAAGGGACAAAACTAGTATTAATCAAAATTGCCAGGCTTCATTTTCATGACTTATTGTTCAACTTTTATTGAAAACAGACTTCCACCCATCTCAGTGTGCTGTTTCATCCCTGGGGCTTATTATCTGGAGAGAACTTAGTCTCAGTACTGGCGACAACAAATGCCTGTTTCAGGATCCACAAAAAAAAAAACGATTTACAAAATGAAGATTAATTAGAAATTTGTGGTGTTTACAAGAAAACACACACACACCAATGAATTTAAACAAATGTAAAACAATGGACAAATAAATCTGACCCAACTAGGGTCGGCAGTATTTTAATGTCAGTAGTCTATGTACAAATTTCCAACCTCAGGCTGGATAATTTTCTGATTTAATTTGCTTCTGAAAAGCTTCCTGTGTGTATAAATATCTGGAGTGGGTTACATTTGTATCTGGAGTTTTGACTCTTTTCACCGTCTCTGATCCCCAAATAGAGGTTGTGTATAAGTGCCGGTGGAAAACATGGACACCTATTGTTTTGTCACTGCAATCAGGATGTGGAATTTCAAAGTAGGAAATGAGTTTTTCCCAAAACAGTCAACAGCTAGTCACCGTTTTTATCCGACAATATTTAAGCAAATATTCCAGTAAATGTAGAGACTGTGTCGTGCGTCAACTGCCTCTGTCCCGACATGATAACAATTTCAGAATCAATTGAAATTGTCCTCATAACACCACATTGCATCTAATGACTTCGGAACAGGACCAATTTTTTACAAGAAACTTGTAATGTAAATAATATATAAATATAATATAAAAAATAAGAGACTAATTTTTCTCCATACATTTGTGTTTGCTTTATTTTCAATTAAATTGAATTTAAAAATTAAAATCCTGAAAAGAGGTAAAATACAATTTTTAAAACACACATTTTCGACGCAGCTGTTTGTTTTGTCCTGTTATGTAACTCAAAATGCCTAGACAACTGTGACACATCGGCAGCGGCTCATTTCCATTTTCTCCCTATTGTTTTCTTTACTTCCTATCACTGGAGGAGTTTCTGAGAAACGCTGTTTCACAATCGTGATATAATAGTGTTTGGGTGCGTGGGGACATAAAATCCATGTAAAAACTGGAGACCAATCTGTTTGGTTTTGGGTCTGTTTCAGTGGGAATCTGTGAAAACCTAAAACAACGACCAATTATTCATCTCGTACCTTCTCCGAAGTATGAGTCCGTGGAGGTGGAGGACGTCGGAGTCGGCAGCAGCTCTTCTGAATGGCTGGTCACCTTCACGGCATCAGACTCTGTCTCTGAACTCTCACTGAGCCGACTGGACACACACAGAAGAACATAGACAAGCATTATTATACCAATATTATTTTTTACCAATATCACCACATCATATTATGTAATTTATTAAATCTGAGAGTTTAATGACCTGTCACTGTTGGAGAGAGAGCAGGATTGGGTCACAGCATCCTTCTTCTCCTTCGGGGTCATGACAGGTAGAGAGGTAGAGATGGGGGCCACACACTGAGGAGGGCTGTCTCTCACTGTGAAATCTGCGGGAACAGATTTTAAACCAGAGTAACCCCACGTTAGCGTACATGGCGCTGACATCCCCACTGCAACCACAGAGAAATGTTACAAAACAGGAAATTTCATGCACAGCACGGTTAAGAGACTCAACAACAAAACTGTTTGCGACCGTTGACCCTTGTCTTGTAAACTCACTCTGTGGGAGGGATGCTGTCCTGTTCTTCACCATGGTAACAGCATATTTATCCTGAAGTTTCTGAGTAATACAAATGAGAGAGGCTAGTTAGAGCGGATAAACAATTGATCCAAGGACAAGCTCCAGCAGAAGCGAGCAGATAAATCTATTTCAGGACAACCCTCACCTTCAAACATGGGGGAACGGATTCCTTACAGCCCTTATGGACGATGGCAGTGCAACCTAGGATAGGACCATTTGTACGTATGTGAATTTTTTATTTTTTTTAAAGAATTATAAATATAAACTTCTTGGAGTTAAAATTTTACTCACTGGGGCAATGCAGCAGGTCCTTTCCAGATGCCGGTTTGTCACATACCACACACACGGTGGGGCCCAAACAGGACCCTGTCGCAAACCGATGTCCATTCAGTTGCCTATCCTTGGATTCCCTGTCCTTCCCCTTACCCTTTGAAAACCATGACAGAGACATCAGTGTAAACAAAGAGGCCACAGACAGAGAAAAAGCGTGATTGATAACCACACCTATGAACTCAAGCCAAAGCAGGCCTCATACGCCGGGGTAAAGATCTCTGTCAAGTTTCTATTTGCAGAGTAAAGTCTCCCGCACGTGAGTAGACAAGCTGAGCCTGGAAGGAATGCCCGCCTCTTTCCGAACCATAAGAAAGTTCCGCTGACGAGGAAATGAAGCATGGCATAAACAACAGATGCAGGTCGGAGGGGGCTTCCAGTTTCTGTGCTGACTCAACAACAGGGGATTAATCATTAAAAGGAAAGAGGCTGGACACTATGTTTGGTCTGTCACTCTGACCTTGAGTGAGTCCCAGAAACATTTCCTGGTTCTGTCTCCCGGAGAGCAGAAAGACAGAGCCACATATTCCATACCTGAGTCTAGAACTGGGATAACAGGTTTTTACTAAACTGTAAAACACTTTAAAACACATATAAAATTCAATCAGCTCGTATGTGCACACCTACATCTCCAGAGCTCACACTTCAGTGGAAATATCCCATGTGTTATTAAGCTATTAAACTAGTGAGACAGGCTAGTGCAGCATATAAAGCTGACTGGACTGTGCAGCAGAGGTAGGCTGTTAGCGGCAGTTAGCGGTCTGCGAGCCAAAGTATTGCTCCACTGAAAATATCTGGCCCTGAAACACAAGCTAAAATTTTCCCTTTTATAGATTGAATCAAAAGTTTTACTTTTTCATAAATCTGAGAAATCCAAATAAACATTGCTTTGTAACTTATAATCATCAGAGATGGTGTGCTGAAACATTTTAACAATACTTTCATTTAACCACGAATAAAACAGATGTTTACGGTGTGTGGGTTTCAAATCTTCTAATGCAACATCATACATACATTTGACTATATGAGTCATTCTTTGCTGAATGACTATTATCTGAAAACTGACATCTGCCCTTAGATGCAATATTACAACAACCCATTTTTTAAATCAGCCTTTGTTATGACTTTAAGTTTTGTTAAGTTATTCTGTACAGTCCAGTTTTAATTTAAGCTGAAGTTTACATGGGTGTAGCAGCAGAGGCGTGGACTGTTTGTGATCTGTGTTTACCTTGGTCTTGTTGCGTGTGCTGGACATCCTGCTCTTCAGGAAACTAAAGGTGCGGATGACTTTGTACTTCTCTGACTCTGTCTTGGTCGGGATATTGTACTTATCCAGCTCCTCTTCTTCAATTCTGTGGAAAAGTTCAAATAACGTCAGTGCAGTTCATTACGTTGCATTTCTGTTCTGTGATTAAAAACCACTAAAAATGTCACATTTGTGTTAGGTAAGGTTAAAGTCTACAAGGCGACAAAAGCAAGTACGACGGGCTTGTGCAGGTGCAGGCAGAGGCTCCAGATGAGTGTGAAATGTACAGCCGTCTATCCTGGTATGCTTATAGTGCACATGCATACAACTGGTTCATGAGCTGTGGTTAGTTCAAACTGCAACGTCCTGCCATGAAATAACAGTTCATCCCAACATATTATTTCATTGTGTCGTCTCTGGAAAAAGAAATATGAGGGAAATAAATAAACATGAACACACACACACACACACAAAAAAATAAATCCTTTGTTAGTCAAAGTTTGTTTTCATCCTCTGCGACACTGTGCTGTGAAAATAAATTAAAATTAGTAGATTGTTAGAGACATGCAAAATGACAATGACAGACTTTGCCGCACACTGAGAGGAGAGGAGGAGGTTGTGGTTTATTGTCGTTAGGTGGTAAACATGTCGTACTGTAAGCGGAGTTTAAGGGTCTTTAAGGTTAGTTGTGTTTCTATTGGACGGTTAAGGACGTTTAAACAGGCGGAAGGAGGTTCAGCACCCCCCCCACATACTCTTTGAGGAACTCAGACAGTGTGAGATGTTGGAGGGACTCTGCCAGCTCCATGCTGCCCTCATCATCAGCGGACTGGGCTCGCTTACGGAACCTAATCTCCCTATGAAGAACACACACACACACACACACACACACACGGACACACGGGAATGTTTTAACACTGATGAAAAGCCACAAACGCCAGAGATATAAGCTGCAATCAGGCATAAAGATGCAAGCCTCACAGGTGGAACGATGATTATTTTCACTGTTGATTAATGTGGACATTAATTTTTGGATTAATCGATTAATTGTTTGTTTTTTTAAAACATTAGATAACTGTGAAAAATGCCCATCACAACATCCTAGAGCAAAAAGTTACTTTATTATGTTTTTTGTCTGCTAATATTAAATTTATCATAATGTAAGTCCAAGAAAAGCAGAACATTCTCACATTTGAGAAACTGAAAGCATCAATTGTTTGGGCCTTTTGCTTGAAATATGACTTAAATGATCAAAATAGTCACCAATTAATTTTCTTTTGATTGACTAATTGATTCATAGTTGCAGCTCTACTACACAACAAAATAAGCCAAGATCAGGTATCAGAATTCTTGCTGTGACGGCCTTTTACACTTTCTTTTATCTCGGAATCTATTTTGGTATCTTCCACTAGGGGGAGCTACTTAAGTGTAGCAGTCCAATTAGGAGTATTTATACATGAAGTGGCAGAGGAAATATACACTGGCATGATTCCTGATGTAGCAGCAGTGTAAAATAAAGAAATAAGTAGAAAAGGATGTCCTTTTAAAAAAGAAAAATCAGAGCCACTCCTCTTAGAGCAGACAGAGGCCGTATAAAAGCTTCAACAATGTCGCTTTTTGTCATTATGTTATACTAGATTGTGCAGTTTTTCAATTCATAAAAGCACAATTTGCTTGTGCATACAGTGCATTTGTCGCACGTGGTGACATGTATCCATGATGCAGCTGGTCATATCTGAAAATAAACCACACAGGGGCAAGATGACACTGTCTGTAAGCCACAGATGAAATACAGAGCAAAGGCACTGTGCATTACAAAAAGCAGGGCTGAAAGCAGCTCAGGGTCATTCTGATATCTGTGCGTCACTGCCTCTATTGAAAGGATCAAAACACCAGTAACATGCATAATACCAGCTCTGCTTCAGAGAGACAAAAGAGCCTCATAAAAGACGTCAGCAAACTTCAGAGTGCCCGCTGTCACAGATCAACCCAGTCGTCATGGTTACACACATATGTTTCTCTTGGCAATAGGGATTACATATCTGGTCTTTTTAATTAAGAGCGAAAAAACCCCAGAGAGTGAGTGCCATGTGAAAGGCTGAATCATTCAGCATCAGGGAAACAGAGAAACACTGAAACTCAATACAAGGTAATTCAAATAAGTAAATGAAGTGTAAAACATAAATACCTTTTCTCGTGTGACTGCTCTGAAATACTGGAGGCTCGTTGCTCTGTGAACATAAAGAACGGGAAGAAGATTCTGTTAACGAGATTTTAAACGATAATTAAGCAGCAAACAACTGATTTTTTATGTAAAGATATAGCGGATTGATGGCGTCCTGACCCCACCCCCCACCCCCCACCCCCCGTGTGTGTGTTGTGATCTGAGTTTCTTTGCTCTTTGTTTTGTTAGCCGGTCTGACACTGTGAGTCCCTCCTGTTAAACCATTGGAGTAAAAAGGACAAAGAAACAGACGAGACCAGAGCACAGGCGCTGGTCATGGCGACTACCGGCTCAAATCACCGTCGGCTGGTGGCCCATCAAAACATCCATGAAGTTTTTAAAATTTGTACCGGCTACGTCCGTGTCATTCGTGCAGCTGGTCACAGCAGATTAAATCCAAGGCTAACTTTCTTTTTTTTAGTCTTGGTCAGGCTTTAGCGAGATGGAGAGCCCCACGAGCTGCTATAAGGCTACAGCTCGACTCAGAACCGGTCGAACAAAGGCCGGAAGTGTGGCTGACGAAACATTTGTTTTGGTCTAAGATGCTGTTGGTCTAGTGTGACATCTAGTGGCAGTGACTATCGTTTACAGAACCTTTAAAACCGACAAGAAAAGCACATGTTGCACATAAATATCCATAAAAATCAGAAGATGAAAACATAATAAGGAACAAAATTAGTGATCTTCATTCTTAATAGCAGACGTTTTAAGTTAATTTACATGCCAGAGAAGCTGTTCACCATCTGAATAGGTTTATATGAAAGCATCTGAATGCAAACACAATCCATTTGATACTGCAGTATGTAACCAGGACAGAACAATACATATTAAAGCTGTAGCACAAGCAGACGCAGAGCATTGACCCCTGCGAGACTCCACACACGGCCTCGCCAGGCTGCAAAGCAATCAGTTATCTTCGCATTTCATCACAGCAAATAGGATTTCTTCCTGCTCTCCCGCTGCCGTTCTGATTACAGCATGGGTGTGTCATGATTAGGCAAGCCATACACAGACACAGATCTGCTCAGACACACATGCAGACACACGCCAAGGTTATTACAGTTTCATGATCTTAATTTAGTTCTCACTAAGATTATAGTTTCAACTCCCCATTCTAATCCCAACTCATTTTCACTTGTTTTCCATCGGGTTTGTACTTCAGCATGAGCTTTTTTCCACATTAATATTCACAGATTTTATATCTAAGATGATGAGCAGTTGATATCAAATTTTCATTTCATGTTCAGCAGGGTACATCATTTGTATTTTCAAATAATGTTGGATAAATTCCCTTAAATTCGATTGGCCATGATGGAAATAACTGGTCTCTCCACACGAAGGATCAAAACAAAACTGTGAAATTCAAAGCTGCAAAAAACTGATTTTATTATCACTGTCTCTTAAAGTTGATGTGGCGAGAGTTTCTTGTCACGAAAGTCCAATATTCACTCTCACTTTATATATATACACTCTGTTTCTGTGTATATATATATAAAGGTGTTCCACCATGTTCACCAGCTAGTTGTTAATCTTACGTGTCTCCTGTTTGGTGCTGATCAGGTAGCACACTGTTGATTTATCTGAGCTTTCACAGTAAAAACCAGCTGCCTGCATCTGGAAGCAACGCTGATGAGAGCTGTGAGAGTGAACCAAAATATCAAAGCTGCAGGTCAGGAAGCCAAAACGATGAGCTGAAACGTGCTGTAAAGCTCCATAGATCTGACAGGAAATGCAGAGTTGAGTGATATTCCTCTATGGGGTTCAGATGTTTTAAAGCTTTGATTTTCAGCAGCTGAATCAGTTTACCGAAATAACCTTGACTTCCCCCTCCACACACACACACACACACACACACACACACACACACACAGACATATAAGCACTGACACTGACAGCGACGTGCCGGCTATACGGGGCCTTGGCGCAGTGTGACGGCTGCAGGTGTCCAGTACTTACTACCAGGGTGGAGCAGAGACAGAGATTTAGACAGAGAGAGGGCCTGAAGGAGAGATCGGCTGTGGCTGACACTGTGGAGCACGGCATCTACAGGGCACAGTGGACAGAGGGCGGCTCACACATCAACTACAGAGGGTGCAAACTATCACCACGTACAGTAAACTCCGGGCTGAGAGCTCTTACATCACTATTTCATGCAGCAGTGAAGCTTTATTGTGAATATTTGAAAAAAAAAAGAAAAAGAAAAACTAGAATCCCTCTCTATTTGAAAAAAGAAGATGTTAAAAGAATAGTTTGACATTTTGGAAAATACAATTCTTACAATAATTATTGATTGATACCACTTTTTTATATCTGTTCGTTCAATATGAAGCTGGAGCCAGCAGCCAGTTAGCTTAGTTTAGCATAAAGACAGGAAAGAGTTAGCCTGGCTCTGTTCGAAGTAACAAAATCTACCTATTATCACTTCTAAAGCTCACTGCTTAACACATTATATCTCATTTGTTTAATCCATTCAAACGACATGATAAATTGTGGTTTTCTGGGGGGGGGTTATGCGCCAGACTGTTTTTTTGGCCAAACTGACAAGAAGTCACTGTTTCTGGCCAAGAAATAATCTGACATCAGCCCCCACAGAACCACAACATGTCATTATTAAACTTCTGCTTTTGTACAGATTAAACAAGCAAGATAAAACGTGTTAATTAGTGAGGTTTAGAGATTCTTTTGCTAGCTCTGGACAGAGCCAGGCTAGCTGTTTCCCTCTGTTTCTAAGCTAAGCTAACTGTCTTCTCACGGTAGCTTCATATTTAACAGAAAGACATGAGAGCGGAATTGATCTTCTCATTTAACAAGAAAAGAAATAATCTCTTTTCCAAAAATGCTGAACTATTGTTACAAGCACATACAGTAGATTCATAAGGAGTTGGCTGTGCTTCATATTAGTAGAGAGGCTACAGTTAAAAGCCAGTTTAAGAGAGACATCATCATAGAAGCAAAGTTAGTTCATGGAAACATTGTTAGTTGTGTGTTTGTGTGTGTGTGTGTGTGTGTTTGTTAGACTGTATGTATAACTTTGTGAGGCAGTTAACAGTCCACGTGTTACTGACCAGGAGTGATATCTGAAGTGTGATTATCCCGGGTGAATCGAGCAGGTCGCAAACTGATTTTGGGCGAGGAGTAGGAATAGGAACGGAGTCGAATCCCCTGGTCACCCAATTCCTACACGAGGAAAAAGAATCATCCGCAGCAAAAACATTTAGACTTCAAACAATGTGTCTCATTGATATAAGCAGAAGTGGAAATGTCTGATGACAGTGTTTGGCAACTGAGATGGTGTTTTACTTTTGTGGTGGGTTCACATGCTGAGGAGGCCGACTGGCTGCGAGTGCAAGTAAGGTCAGGCGAGGGACGAAATGCGTCCCTTTTGTCTTCGCTCTTCTCAACATCTGACGAGAGCGTGGACAGCGGAGACTTTGGCTCGGTGCTGTCCTCTTCACTGTCCACCTCCAGGGCCACTAGACTGGGGCTGGAGAGATAAATGTCCAGTTACACCCACAACTCAACAAGCATTCTTACTGGAGAAATCTTTCTACGACATTTTATACCTGAGGTCGCAGGTGTCCATGGGCGGACTGTCCCTCTCATTGGTCGGCTCAAAGCAGATGGGACGGGTCAGCCTGGCGAGGGCCTGGTCAGCAGCTGAGAGAGGGAGAGAGCACGGTACAGAGTCGTGGTAGAAGTTTTCTGAAAAGGGCGGAGGAGTGTCGATGGCGAGCAGGAGATCTTGAGAATCCACTGTATCCCATAACCCGCTGTCTGTCGCTGTGCTGTCCCTTGTCACTCCACTGATGCTGTACTTGAGGTCAACATCATCCGGCTGAGGCAAAAACACAAAAAGGAAAAAAGAAATATGCATAAGAAAGATGCAATGAAGAAAAAAAAGTAAGAAAACACTAAATTTTGTGTTTGAAGAGAGTGGATGATGCACAACCTGTGTCTGGTGTGCGATGGTCTGATCGTTGCTGTTGATCATGGAGAGCAGAGGGTCTGGAGCACGCTGGGTGAACTGGCTCTCCACTCCACTGGACTTCATGGGATGCCCATTTACTGCGATAAACATGCAGTACAACCTCAGCAGAGTTTCAGCATAGTTTATAATAATAATTCAAACAGACTATTTTCTCCTTGTCTCAGTTACGATCAGCTACCCTACACTTCCAGCAGATGTCTACTAGAAATTTGTTTTCATCTGGCTGAATGATTTACTGTCACAGTACACGGTGAAAAGCCACTTTTGATCACTGTAATTCATCTCTCTGTCAGCCAGATGTCTAAATGTCTGGTTGAATAAAGAGAGCAGCTCAGAGTAAAAACATAACCAAATATTTTAACCAAACAACAGATTACATTGTCTCACACCAGACAAAAAAAAAACACATCAAAGAAAAAAAGAAAAGAAAATAGATTACCACACATGTCATGATACAGACCTTTAAGTCATATTTTCTTCAGTTCTGATAAACCTTCTGTTTTGGTTTATTCTGGTAATTTGGGATCATTTTTTACCATGATTCATTGATCTTTCATTACTTAAATGTCAAGGCTTAGAGTGAAGAAAGGAAAATATGATGAGATAGTGCATACCTACTCCCTGTTTGACCTTTAAAGGTTCGTTTTCATAGAAACCTCCACGTATCATCCTTAACCACAGGCTGTCTAAAGTATTATTGTAATATTGTCTTACACTGAGTCATACTCACTTTCATGTGTGTACATTCTATTATGTATTATTATGTACCATTTTGTGTATCATTATCACTGAAATATCAGTCAACATTTTAATTTATCCAATAAATCTATTGATGACAAAACTAATGACAATAATTCTAACTCCCTTATATTAGAGCTGCGACGATCAGTTGATAAATCAATTACTCGATTAGTCAATCAACAGATAATTATTCTGAGAATCTAATATTTGTTTTAGTCATCTTTTGAGGAAAAATGTTTCTAACTTCTCTAACTTTGATGCTTTTGTCACACATGATATTAAACTGAATATCTTTGGATTTTGAACTATTGGTTTGAATATGTCGCCTTGGTCTGCGGGACATTAAAACAGATATCTTTTTCTATTTTCTGGCATTTTGTAGACGACAAAACCTTTAACTATTAATTGAAGAAATAATTGTCAGATTAGTGAATAATGAAAATATGTGAGGATGATTACATGTTTTGTATATAATGTAATCTGTACTAGTAATTATAGCTGTCAAACTGATAAAGTGGAGTGGAAAAAGTACATTTATGCTCATGTAATAAAGTAGAAATACAAGTAGTAGTAGTAGTAGTAGTAGTAGTATAGCACCTCAAAATTTACTTAAGTACAGCGCCTAAGTAAACAGGTACAGTATGTACATATAAGTGTGTACTTTGTACCACTGTTGACATGACAGCGTGTCTACAGAGTGGTGGATGGTATTTCTACTATAACAATGTGGAAAATTACCTCCTGATGAGATGCCATTTTCATCGCACTCTGTGCACTTTCCAGCCAGACTTTGATGTCTGGATCGGCCAAGCCTGCACTAATGTAAGGGAAATCCTGGGCATCACAGAGGCATTTCCTCTCTGCTGCTCTCACACAGTGCAGACATTGGCATGGAGCTCAAACATACAGTAAAAGGCAAACTCCTTATATCCATTCATTGCATTTATCTTGTTTTCTCTATATGACTCTGCCTGTCTGCTTTCATTTGATTTGCTCAAATCAAACTGACAGTGTGTGCGCAGCTTCACACACGGACCCAAAAATCTCCACTCCACTTTAATTTAAAGGACGGTGACAGATCGAAGAAGCACCAGTCTCAGCTGGTAGACTAATTGTCCAACTGGCCAGCTCCAACAATAACTGACACTGCTGAGTTATGTCAGTGAAACTAGAGAAACCTTTACAATCGTTCCGACAGATTCGGAAAAAGCAATAACTCTGGATGACAACTTTGTACCATAGCAGCCTTGAGGCCCTGTCATCACAACAAAAACACTCAGCTCAACAGTGAGTTTGATGACTTGAGCAACACAGAAGAAATCTGCAGTCTGCTTAAGTGGGAAACACTGGGATCACTGCCCTTGTGTTGTCACTCATCAGTACTTCACAAAGACCAATCATCATACACACACTCACACACACATGATCCAGTTTATGGTCAAAGTTTACAGGCTCCTTTCAGCAGCGCCAGAGTCTCTTTAGAGTTTACAGCAAACTCTTTCTTCTTCCACAACAACACACAGGAAATTAGCATTCACAGTAACCGTGGCAACACCTGAAACCTTTGAGCATCCTCCTCACAGTTTTTACTAGGCAGTGAGTGTTTGCGCTGGCTAAGCTTTTGTGCACACGTGTGTTTAAAGAGAATTCAAGGTTAATATGTGTGGTTCACCTAAAATGTCAGCTTTTGTAAGTTAAGCTTGTTCACATTCCCCCTCTCGCATCAAGTACACAGCTCCAGTGTCCAACCCAGGGGAGTCGCATAAGGAGGGGGGAGGGGGTGGGGGATGGCAGGGCGACAGGCCAGAGCGGGGCATCTCCCAGCTCAGACAGAGCTTGAGTGGGACAAGCCTGACCCCATTCCTGTCTTTGTCCCAGTGACAGGGCAGATTCCTGGGCTCTCATACTGAGTCAAAGTGTTGGCCAAGCAGGAAAAGACCAAACCTGCATCATCTAAAGACTCCAGGAGGATAATTCATCTGTTTAATCAAAGAAAACTGCTCCTCAACCCCAGATAAAAGTCCATCCTTGTCTGCGCCTGTGAAGCAGTCAGTGTATTGATTTCCTATGATGTGATTCAAAACAGAGCTCTGCATATTGTGCCAGCTCCACAGGAGAAAGGATTCCAGTCAGGGCTTCTCAACCAGCTTATTATGCATTGTTCCCACAGCCTGCTGTTCAGTACAGCCACAAATATGTTGTTGTGTTTTTTATGGATTACCCATTCATCATTTAAGCCAGATGCCAGAGTATTATTGCCATAATATTAAAATGGAAAGAGAATTTTTGGTCTGGACAAATTTCTTTTGTGCTTGTCAAGTCAAAATGTTGAGCAAATAAATCCTTGAACTATTGTAAATCCATGAGGTGGATAAATAGATCAATCGTGATAGATTGAGAGAGGAGAAAAGAAGAGAAGAATTACCAGACGATAAGGATGGGTACTCCTCTTCATCATCGTCGTCATCCAATGAGAGGACGAGCTGTTCTTCAAAAACCTTTTAAAAAAAACAGAAAAAAAAGACACAAAGACAGCACAGCTCTTAGGAAAATTCAAGAAGTGTGTACTTGACAACAACACAGCTGCATGCAACGAACTTAAGAGGCAAATCTAATAAACATTTACAGCACACAATGCGCTCTGTACCACAGACTACAACATATATTTATAAGTATACTCACATTGTCCACCAGCACGTGCCCTTCCACTCGGAGCTCCTTGCTAACGCCTGTGCAAAATAAAAATATTCAACTAGAAGTTGATGCATGGCACACTTAACTCCTCCTCCTCCTCACAAGAAGAGTCGTGTGGACGACACAACATCAGCTCCTCTGGATATGACTCTACTATCCAGGAATGGGGAAAACTGGCCAATGAGATGTTGTGCTCATCCAAAGCAGCAGGTCGAGAGGAAGAGCACATACTCCCTACTGTGTGGCTGTTATTTCGAGAGGATTAATGGACGGCTGCTGAAGTTGGGACAGGGTTAAGGTCAATACTGAGGTACACTTCCTGCTTCTCTTTACGAGTCGATACTGCCATCTGCCATCTCTATGGTTACCAAAAACAGCAGCCACAGGTTAACTGAGAGCTATCAAATGTGTGTGTGTGTGTGCGCGCGCATGTGTGTGAGAGAGAGAGAGAGAAGGCCAGAAAAATAAAATAGTTAGTGGCGGCATTGGAAATCTGAAAGGATCTTTTTCTTTGTGTGTGGTTGCATGCCAGCCTGAGCATGTCACCCCAAGAAAGAAAAAAAAAAAAACCAATCTGCCCCCCCTCTGAGTTTTCTCTGTAATCTCAGAGGAAAAACAAACACGTGTGTAGAGGAGCGTGTGCCTTTTATGGTGTGTGTTGGAAGTGTTTTCTTAGTCTCTTCAGGTTGTAAGTGATGGATGTCTGACCGTACAAATGTTTGCTCAAGTCAATCTGCGGTGGTTCGTTTTCCACCGCTCTCCAGTACAGTCTGCACTCACATACCGCCACACACACACACACACACACACACACACACACACACACACACACACACACACACACACACACACACACACACAGACAGCAAATATATGATCTGTTGGTGCAAGCAGAGACCAGTGTGATGGCAAAGCTAGAGCTGCAACTAATAATTATTTTCATTATTGGGTAATCTGTTGATTATTAGTTTTGATGCATCAAATAATTACTTAGTCTCTGAAATGTTAGACAACAGTAAATAAAGTAAAATTTCCCACAGTTAATGGAGACGTCTTTAAATTGTTTGTTTTGTCTGACAAAAAACTGAGCAACGAGAAGCTGCTTCATAACACATTAAAAGATTAATTGACTATTGTCATCCGGCGACTAATCGTTTCAGCACTGCACTATTACAATCATGCTTCATCTTTATGCTCCTACATGTAGGTCACTGTGTGCGTGTGTG